TCTCATATTCAGGGGAGGGCATTTATGTTAGCCTCTCCTCCATTGCTGAGACAATTAGCTGGTGTCATCTTTGTAGATCTCCAGACATTTCCCTAGTGCCTAATTTCCGCTATAAACATCGTTGAACAGATGTCCTTGTTGTATGAATGTGCTACTTTTGGGTATATGCCTAAGAGTGGAATTGCTGGATCTTGTGGTAGACTGATTCCCATTTTTTCTAAATTTCTAAAGTATTTCTAAAGTCAATTCATGATATACCAGAGAATGTCAAGTTTGGGAAAATGGTCACTAGATGTCACTGTGCTCCTTGTAAAAAAACCTGATATAAGCTGCAAGGATTAGTCATTCATTCATTAGTTCAGTACAGTTGTTACACACTATTTCTAGTACCATGAAAAATGAAGAGTAGAACAAATAGATGTGGTCTCCACATCTTCCAAGTCTGGGAATCCAATTCAGCTCCTTATGTATAATCTGTAAGAATTGTAACACTGAATAGTGCCCATTTTTCCTATATGGTCTTTAAGTTCATGGAATTTACAGACTTGTGGAGAAGTCATATTCATGAAGCAGTCACATATAGTGAAGCCAGACTGTACAACTTGCCAGAGCCAAGTCTCAGCTGGTAAGTTGAATGTGAATGCCAAGGAACTTGGTGGGATCTTAGAAGGCTTCTCTGAGGAAGCAACATTTAAATGAAGTACCTGTCACTAGCTGTTGTTGGAGAAGACAAGGTACAAGGGCATTGCAGACTGGAGATGAAGGTCTAGGAAAGACCTGATGACAAGTAAGTTTTATTTTAGGGACTGAATGAGAACCAGTGTGGCTGACATCAAAACTGAAAGGTTGCCATGTACAGTGCTGTGGAGAGCTCAGGGAAAGTAGGGAAAACTATAGAGAGGATGAATTTGGAGAGGTGAGGCTAGACAGGCAGATATGGGGGCTGTGTCTGTGGTGCTGTGATTTTTTCCTCTTATTAGAGATCCCTGCGGGAAATGTTACTATACCTAATTTCCTCTAAACCTCCATCTTTTCCTGCCTCTCCCTGAAATGAATGACAGGCTTCTCGAAAGTGTCATGGCAGCCCAAGGACTGAGATGAAAAAAA